AATGAGAAGTTTTTGAAGGGATGGTGGAGAGTAGAGTATAAGGATTGGGAACTACAGGACGAAGGGGAACTACTGCTGAATTAATAAGTCGGAGATCCTGAACCAGGCGGTAGGTTCCAATTAGGTTTTTTGACTGCAAGTATGGGGGTATTGAAGGGGGAAGAAGTGGGGCAAAGAAGACTTTTTCTCAGGAGGTCAGAGATGAGAGGTTTAAGTCCCCTGAGACTTTGGAGTGAAAGTGGGTATTGAGCCTTAGTTATATATTTGGCAGGGTTTTGTAGTTGGATGATTAGAGGGGTGTGATGTTTGGCTATAGAGGGATTTTGGGTGTTCCATACCTGAGGATCTACCTGAGAGGATGGTAAGGGAAGAAGTGTGTCAGAATGTGTGGTTTGGAGGAGAAGGAGAAGGGGAACAGCTGGTGAGCCTAGAGCCAAGCAGATAGGGGGAGCAAAAGAAATGGAGGCTCCCACTTTGGCTAAAAGGTCCCTTCCCAGCAATGGGATGGGACAGGTTGTTATCACTAGGAAGGAATGAGTAAGGGGGATACCCTGAAAGATACAGTTAAGTGGTGGGGTTTGTTGGGTCTGATAGGGCTGTCCCCCTACTCTGACAATAGAGGAACAGGAAGGAGTGACTGGTCCCCAAAAGTTTTTCAAGAATGAAAAAGTGGCTCCAGTGTCCAGGAGGAAGGAGATGGGCCTCCCTGATACTGTGTGTTGGATATGGCAGTGGTCAGGCCAAGGGAGCCAGGTCTTCCTCAGTCATCAATGACCAGGCCAAGGAGGTCAGTTGAAGGACGATCTGGGATTGATGTCCCCATGCTATTAGGAACATGGGGGCAATCAATGCCCCAGTGTCCCTCTTGATGGCACCTTGGACATGGTCCTGGTGGTTTATGAGGGTTTGGACAGGCCCAGGCCCAGTGGCCCCCCTGACCGTATTTGAAACAAGGATGTGGGAGTCTTTGTCCCTTGGGAGCCTGGGCTTTTGTTTTGGCTGGCTGAGAGGTCTTAGCCATCATCAGGTATTTTTGTTTTGGGGCCTTTTCATCTTTTTCATGGTACACCTTGAATGCCACATTTAGGGTTTCTGACTGTGGAGTTAGGGGGCCCTTTTCTAGACGTCTGAGTTTGGCCTTAATATGCGGGTAACTTTGGGGAAAAAGTAGGTCATAAGGAGTTGGTTCCCAACTTGAGTCTCTGGGTCCACACTGGTGTATTGTAAGAGGGCCTTTGTAAGATGGTCTAGGAATTGGGATGTGTTTTCATCCTTGTCCTGGATGACCCTTTGGATCCTTTCATAATTTACTGCTTTAAGAGCAGCCTTACAAAGACCAGCCAGGAGACAAGTTAAAAACTGCTTCCTAGCTAGGATGCCCCATGGGGTATTGTAAATCCCAGTCAGGCTCCTGGTCAGTAACTGCCATAGATCCAACTGGGTAGGTATCATCAGTTTGATGGATGTCATCTGCCTGTTCCCAAACTCGCCTGCGTTCCTCAGGGAGGAGATTGTTGGTAAGAATCATATAAACATCATGAAAGGTAAGGTTATAGGACTGGGTAATATACAGGAATTCTTCAATAAAGGTGGAAGGATTGGCAGTATAGGATCCCGATCTTTTGTCTGTTTGGGAGAGTTCAGTCAATGAGAAGGGGACATGAACTTTGACTAAGCCATCCACCCTGGCAACCTCCCACAAGGGGAGAACTGGAGCTGGTTTAGGTTGGGGAGGTAAAGGGGGTAGTCCCTTAGTGGAGCGGGACCGAGTAGTGGGAGGACTAGGGGCGGTTGGTGGTGAGCTGAAGGTGGGTGCCAGTGAAAGCTGAGTAGGGTGACTTGTCACTGAAGAGGGAGAAAGGGTAATCGGAGGGACCAGACCGAGAGGGGGAGCTGAGGGTTTTGTTCGACAGGGAGAAGGCTCATTGGCTGGATCAAAAGTAGCGGAGGGATCATCTTGATCAGACTTCCTAGCCAAAAGGAGTTGAGTGGGAGAGCATGAGGCAGAGAGAAGGCTTGGAGCATAGCAGAGAGAAAGCGTGGACATAGAAAATCTCCTTCCACTTCTCCAATCGCTCACAGTAGTTTCAAAGGTCCCGAATAATATTGGGATCGAGGGTGCCATTATGTGGCCATGTGGACTGATTATCTAAATGGTATTTAGGCCAAATTTTATTGTAAAAGCGAATAAGTTTAGGACCCTTCAGTTCAGGTGTCAGGTGTAGAGACTGGAGGTTTTCTAGGAGACATCCCAAGGGGGAACAGGAGGGTACAGATGACACAGTTCCCATGGATGAGAAGGAAAAGGTCACTGCAGCCTGTAGTCAAGGGCGTCCCCAGGACTCAGGGAGGACCACAGAACGAGGACCAAGCTGTTCAGAGGGTCTTCACCCAACTCAACGGGGGTCAGGCTTAGCCCGGCTAAGCCAGAAGAGACTCGGCGCCTGGTACCAGGGCTTTTCTAGAGGCCAGAAGGCATAGACGAAACCGAGCTCTGAGAGGGTCTCATCCACAGGAAAGGGTCAGGAATGGAGTCGCAGAAGCTGCAAGGACCTAGAGGAGCTATGGGATGACAGCCAGCTCCAAGGGAGAGGGTCAGGAAGCGACGCAATGACACGGTTGGCCCTAAGGAAACTGCAGGATTGCAATTTCAAGGGTGGTAGGATGGGGTCAGGTTAGGAGGGTCAGCTGTAGCCTTAAGGGCCTTGGCTGGGGTACCTCCACCTCTACAAAGACCCCTGACTTAGGGAGCTGAAACACCAACTGAAGGGGAGACTTACCCAATCGTTGATGGTGGATGGAGTGTCGAGCGATTGGTGAGCTGGAAGGCGAGTCTGCTGCAGGCCAACTGGAGATGAGAGATAGGGTCCCAGTGCGGCTCAGTCCACCAAGGGGAGCACAGGCACCAGGAGAGCCTATCCTGGGTTTTGGCACCAAATGTAAGCATTTCTGGCGGATCGGCATGAGTCAGGTATTCTGGCACTCGGGGGGTCACAGAATACTGAGTGTTACACAGCTCAGGTGGAAAGGAGCTCGGGAGCCAAGGACTACCACAGGTTGTAGTAACCTTAGCAGCTTACAGCCTTGCCTCAGGGAAAGGCTTCTCCAGTGTATGGGCTCCCCTCAGGCAGGACAGGGTCTTCCAGCTGGGGATGTTCACCCAGTGTAACAGTTTTGCTCTGCAGGAGGTTTCCCTGGCAAAAGTGTTACAGCTCTGCTAGCTCTGCTCTGCCCAGGGTTGCCTCTGCTCTGTCCGCTGCCACCGCAAAAGAAGATCTTCACCCAAAGCTCATCAAAGGGTTTATTGGAAGGAAGCAGCTGGACTGGCCAAGCTGATCACAGGGTTTATATAGAGATTCTTGGGGATAGGGAAGTTTTTCCAGGGTAGGGATTGGTCCTATTTCATTGCTGAGCTCAGATTGGCTAGAGCTCTGCTTGAAGATTGGTTAGTTTTCTGCACAGGATTAGGGTCAGATTTGGCTGTTTTCAGGGCCAAAGTGTGTTTCTTTCTCTGGTCCTTTTTAGCCTTTTGGCTCCAATTTTAGAGCCAGGGAGCATGCATTTCTTTCTCTGACTCTGATTCCAGGGACAAAGTGTGTTCTTTTGGCACTGGTTTCAGGGTCAGGGTACATTTCTTTAGTTTGGTTGCAGGGACAAAGTGTGTTTCTTTGGCTCTGCTCAGGGTGTGTTTCTTTGACTGGTCCCTTTTCCCAACATCTAGCATCAAGAATAATATATTTTTTATAGTTTTCTGCTTATCACCTCATTGACAGGTAGGTATGTTTTGAGAATGATTTCTAGAAATGAAAGACATTGGTCTCTTGAAAACAGCAGAACGTGTAACAGAACCTGTTTTAGATGTCATCTCTACATGTATAGGTGTGTGTGTGTGTGTGCGCGCACGCGCGTGCACACGCACATACAGAATTTCTTGAGTCTAGAAAATAGACTGTCTAAAGACTACAAACTCATATTCTTGCTATTGCTTAATCATGCCCATAGTTTAGGGAGTTAATATCTACACTATGATACAGCTGTGGTCACTGAAGAAACACAATGTTAAATGTTATTTATAGCTGGTATATCTCTTAGGAAAAAAGTACTGAATGATCTGCCGGGATAATTGGCACTTGCATTTGTCCTTTTGATGCTGTGATGAGGAATATTTTAGTATATTTTGGATAGGTAGGTAGGAAATTTTAAGTTCATAGGCTGTTAATGAATCCATTCAATCAAAATGTTTAAATTCCATGAAAGAAGGAAGAGGATTTTACATACAGAAAGAGCATCAGTCTCCTAACATTCTTTTTTTGGGGAGAGGGGGCATGGTTAACAGCTTGTGGGTATGTGCAAGACTGGATGACTATTGCTTGGGTACCACAGGATAGAATTGTCTTAACCAGAAGGAAATGTATAAGAAAATGACAGAAAAAAATTTAAGAAATGAAGGGCTTCATTGGACACCAGGACAAAGGAACAAGTTATAAATGATTTGAGAAAGAGTGCTTAGAAATTAAGTTACACAGTTCTGAAAATAGTGACCAAAACAGAAAATTTATTTTAATTCTTATAATCCTGAAAAGGACTAGAGACAAAGTAGATGGGTTACCTACCTCTATTGGGTGCCTAGAAAGCAGGGTGAATGGAGGGCAGGGAGGGAAAAGCTAGTTTTCTTACTGTAAGGTTTCTTCTCAAGTTGAGCTTATAGCCTTGCTGTCATTTTCCAGGGGAATCTTTGTTCTCTGACAGCTCAGTGGAGATCACATGATCTTCAATTCCTATCTCAAATATTGATATCAAGTAATTACATAATCTTTTCCAATAGTGCTTATGAAGTCATTGCATTTTGATGTCTGTATCCTAGTAAAAGTATATTATACAAGTAAGCATTTCAGCTTTTAGTATGTAATAGGTCTTAATTTCAGTGTTACTATGTGTATTAAGTTATGTTTTACCTTGAAGCTCTAATTTAGACTAAAACTTGTACCGTTTTTTTTTAGGACAGCCAGTAGAGGGGACTTCATGTTTTCTGCGGATCGTTTGGTAGGTGGAGGCTTTCCATTTTCATTTCATTGTTGTACGTGGTGATGTAATCCTGGTAGGCCAGGGGTCTTTTTGTTTTGTGTAGCATTCTTGGGTTGAGAAATTGTACTGAGTAACCATTGTCTTGCTAGGCTTTTGAAGTGTTCTTTCCATTATAGCATTAAAGCACTGCCTCACTTCCTTGTACTCCAAAGCATGGCCTACAAAACCATTCCTTGTCATTGGTAAATGGATTGGCAGTCTGGTTCTCAGTGATTCATAAAATGCCTCATCTTAGGGCAATGAATTGAAGTACATTAGAAGAAAACTAAGTATGTTCTGAGACCTAGCATTCATCCTTGTGTATCAGCTAATGTGCAAAAACTAGTATATTTTCTTTTGTAGTTTACAATGTGAATTGTATTTGTTTTGATTCTTCCCTGTGATATACTCACGATATGAAATTTTAAGTTGTACTGTATACCCCTTCTTCAAGAGCATCCTATTAAGTCCTGACCAAACCCAATCTTCATATAGTCGGTGTCATCTCAGGCTTAATTGCTTTGCCACAGCTTTTCATTATTGTGTTGATATCTAAGTGTGCTTCATTCTTGGAATAAAATTGATAATTAATTGCTAAGACTAATACTCTTCATAAATGAAAATTAATACTGGGTACATATTAGACCCTGCACTAGGCTATTTTGGGAGGGAGGATGTAAGACAGTTAGAAATATAGATATGGTCCCTGCTCTTGTGGAATTTACAATCTTAACACTGTTGTCATTATTTAGCTTGAGGAAGAAATGTGGCTTATTAACCTTGTAGGTATAATCAAATCATAGAAAATAGGAAAAGAGATGTGAGAAAAAGACAAAACCTTTAGTTTTGATTTTTTCCAGAGCATATATTCTAAAAGAGTGTAGGCAACTCCTCTTCCGCTTTTGACTTAAATATTCTTGGTTGAGAGACCCAATTCTATCTAAACTTATTTTGGTTTCCATGGCTAGTAATAACTGTTGGTAGCAGCAAGAGAAATATGGTTGACATTCCTGGGGAAGTAGACACTGTCTTTCATGTTTTTTTCTCTGTGTGTATGTGTATGTTTGTGGAGGTGCATGTGTGTGCTTGCATGTAGAAACCAGAGGTTAACCTTGGGTATGGAGGCCAGAGATCAGTGTAGGGTGCTTCTCAAGAGCCATGTACCTCATCTTTTTCTTTCAGAAAAGGTTTCGTACTAGGATCTAGGGCTTGCCAGTTAGGCTAGACTGGCTGGCCATTAAGCCCTTCAGAAATCCTCCTGTCACTAGGTCATAAAGTGTATGCTACCACTTTTCTTTTTATATGACTTCTAGAGATTGAACCTAGGTCTTCATGTTTATAAGGCAAGTCCTAATCACCAACTGAGTTATCTCTTCAGCCTTCTTTTATGTTTTCAGCAAAAATGCAACCAACCAAACAAAAAACCAAACCTAATTTTGAGGCATTATGAAGTCCCACTCGAATGACTGCTGAGCAGAGGGTAGGAGTCTCTATTCTCTGGCACCCTCCTTACTTCATCTCCCCTCCCTCCCTCCCTCCCTGTCTCTCTCTTCCTCCCTCCCTCCGTCCCTCCCTCCCTCTCTCTCTCTTCCTCCCTACCTCCCTCCCAGCTTCTCAAGTAGCTGGGACTACAAACCTAACGACAAATGCATATGTTTCTTTTTGTTGTAGAAAGTAGGAGTCAAATTTATGGATGTTCTAAAGTGCTTCTCTGAAATAACAGGCATTATATCCTAGCCAAATGAGATATGTGGCATACTTCACCTAGGATGTGGTAATTTGGACTTCTCCATTCTTTGTAATTGGGTTTGCTGGTGTGGGGTTTTGGTAGCAACTACAGCTCTTTATATATTTTTATTGTTGAAGATTTCTAGTATACCATCTCCTCAACACAAGGATCCCACCCCTGATAGTGGGCAATTGATGTTATCCTGAGTTTGTCAAGAGTTGCTTCCCTCAGTTCTTACATTTATTTTGGGGAGAGAGTGGTGAATATTGAACTGAGGGCCTTGAGTGTACTAAATACATGCTGTACCACTGAACTACACCCACCCTTGAAAGGGATTTTAGTCATTCTTCTAGTTTTTGCTCTCCTGTAAGTTAGACACACTAATCTCCACACCTGTGTTTATATATTTTTATCTATTCTTTGAAAATTTCATATATGTATGTAAAGTACTTTTCTTATCCACTTTTAACTCCCTTTCCAATTCCTCTCAGATTCTCCCAGTCAACTTCCTATCCTCTTCCTTTTTATAGCCTGCTGAGTCTAATTTATGCTGGCCACATACCTCTGGGTGTTAGGCCATCCACTTGAGTATGGTCAACATTTCAGGGGGCCACACCTCTAAAGAAAACTGACTCATTGGGTGTTGGTGGTGCACGCCTTTAATCCCAGCACTTGGGAGGCAGAGGCAGGCAGATCTCTGTGAGTTCCAGGCCAGCCTGGTCTACAGATCGAGTTCCAGGACAGCTTCCAAAACAATACAAACCCTGTCTCGAAAAACCAAAAAAAGCAAAAAAAAAAAAAACAAAAAGAAAGAAAGAAAGAAAGAAAAGAAAAGAAAACAACTCTCCCTCCTTCAGAAACCATCAACTGCCAATTGGGCAATTGGGGTGGGGCCTTGTGAGCTCCCCCACCCCAAGTATATGGAGTGTTTACTGGCTTGTGTCTGTCTTGTATAAGCAAATACAGCTTCAGTGAGTATGCAACTCATGTCCAGAAAACAATATTTCACAGCAGTTCTTTCCAACCTCTGGCTCTTCCATGGCGATTTCTGGCTAATGTCCCAGAGTTTCAGGGAATGGGGCAGGAAAGAAGGCTTGTTTGAGGTATGTCACTAAAGGAAAGAGATACAGGCTTTTCAGTTAAAAAAATTCTTTCCTGTAATTTTCTCTTCAGTAAACATAAATAGCCAAAGAAGGTGGTAGCTAGCAGTGGGTGTGCTCTTGTATACACTATTCAAAAGGTTTTGGGCCCATTTTCAGATTCTGCAGGGGGACGAAGTGATGGGCCATTTCCGATTGATCCTTTTAATGGCAGCAGGGTGATGTGTTGTGATAACAGAGAACGAAGCATCGTACTTCTCCCTGCTGTTCCTGATTCTCAATCATTAATGTAATATTGATTGGAGAAAATGTGCACTACAGGATCAGCACTGCCTTTGTTAGAGTGGGCTTTGGTTGCTCACAGCTCACCGTGAGAGGCTGTTTCTAGTAATTTTCAGTGATTCTTCCTCTCTACCGCATAACTGCTATGAGACTCAGAAAACTTAAAATATTTGTTTACTTGTGTATGCATGTATGTGTGTATGGATAAACCTGCTCAGACTGTTGTGGGTGCAGGTGAAAGTCACAGTACATTTTGGGAGTCAGTTCTATGCTTATCTACCATCTAATTAGCCTCTATAGTACTTTTCTTTAGCTGAGAAGTCCCAAGATATTCTACTGGGTCCTTCTTCAGACTTAGTAAATTGCTTCAGCTCATCTCCTCATTCATTTTCTCACAAAGGACTTTTAGGTTTTATTTGCATTATGGTGAGCCTTTGTTAAAATGAATACAAATTCATTTTTAATTGCAAAGATTTCAAAGGTACTAAGCAAGGTAGAGAATCTAGGTGAACATTTTCCACAGTGACCCATAATTTTATTACTACTGATGGTATTTTTGCCATAGGTCTTGTTGAAGTTCTGCACCTCTCATATTCTTGACTGGCTCAGAAAGCACACTGGAGCCCTTGGGTGACAGTCATGTGTAAAGTGGAGGTTGAATACTTAGCAAAAAGCAGTCTGGCATTTGGATGTGTCCCTGTAGTTAGTATACATGGTAGGGGCACCCTCCCTTACTCCATGAGCTAAGCCCTCGGCTCCTGAAGCTAGCAGCTAGCAGGAGACTCTGAAGGCTCTCAAGGTATTCTTTCTTTGACTTTCTAGATCAGACTTGTCGTAGAAGAGGGGCTGAATCAGCTGCCATATAAAGAATGCATGGTGACCACGCCGACAGGTAACTCGGGCTTGCACTCTCAACTTTTCCTCATAAAAATCCAGAACTAGAGTTCGGGGGGAGGAAAGTGGAAGGAAGCCATTCTGTTTAAAATCAGTGTGAAAAATGAGTTTAGGTAGAGCTGGTTTTTTTAAAACATCTTTAAAAACTAAGAGACGTTTGTAAAGAAGTCTATGTAGGTGACTTTTGTTAATGGCTTGCTTGTCAATTCAAGTTAAAGGTTATTACATACTCTTCAGCATGCAGGTGTTGCTTCTGATGGCAGCCCACCGGGACCAGAGTTAAGAATTGCTGGCAGCTTATCTTCACCTCTGTGGGGAAGCCACTGGTGCTAACAAATGCAGGAGACTGCTTTGGCACAGAAACTTCAGGTTAAAAAAAGATGAGATGTGAAAAAGGGAAAGAAAACTAAAAATGATAAGATTTGGAATGTTCTTTGTTCTAATAAAAATAGCCTACCATCCCCCTTTCAGAGATTTGAAATTCTGATTTGTTTTTTTTTCATATATGATGGAAAACTCTTCTCTTCAAAGGGTTGACTATGAACAATTGAGGGCTGAGTTTGTTGCATCATAATTGACACAATTCAGAGTGAGATCCAAGTTATGAGTAGCTTGATAGCTATTGCAGGCTCTTACTTCTGCTTTTAAGGCAGAATGAAGGTTCATAAGAAGGAATGGAATGAGGAGAGGTCCTGCTGTGGCTCTCAGTGGGGCCCTGGTGTGAATTGATGGGGTATCTAGTATTCATGGACGGCAGTGACTCTCCTTTGAATTCAATTTAGAGAATGTGTATGTGAATATTGTGCTATAATAAGTCCAGTTCCCACTTGATGAAACCCTCCCCTCCCAATTATTCTCACAAGTTTCTTCTGAGGGATTAAGAAATCACTGTGAAAAATCATGACTCATTACTTTTACAGGTGTTATACAATGTGTTTGGGCAAGGGGCTTGCTTTGTCCTCATCTGCTTTGAACCATGAGCATTTTATGGATATGCACATTGCTGCAATGATAAAGCATCTATTTTTATTTTATTTCCAAACAGGGCACAAGTATGAAGGAGTGAAATTTGAGAAAGGAAATTGTGGGGTCAGCATAATGAGAAGCGGTAGGTTTGCATGTGTATGATTTTGTTTCTTTGCATGCATGGAAACGGTTGCTGTTTTCCAGGAGAGAGGTAGGCTGGCTTGTCATAATTGCATCCTGCCTTTGCTTAAATCTCACCACCTGTGTTGCCTATTCTCATGGTTCCTTGGAGTCATGGCCTATGTGCTGCTAAGTTTGGCTAATTGTAATTGCAGGCATCTTCCCTAGTGGCCTGCTCCCAAGAGCAAGCCAGCTTTTAAAATGCCTTAAAGGAAGGTGGGAAGATAGCAGGATGGGAGGACAGGATGCTCCTGTGTTGGGGAGATTAGTTTGAAGACTGAAGGAATGTGGCATAAATTCTTTCTGAAAAAGAACATTTGGATACCTGGCTGGAAAAGATACCTCCTCAGATTTTATCTGTGTTGCAGGGAACTCTGCCAAAAGCTGGACTTATGTAACAGTTTACATTTTATATTCCATGAATAGGTGACTACATAGGCAAAAATGCCTAGCTCTCATTAGCTCAAGATATTTCCACTTGCTGATCTTATACATTTTGTATTAGTGCTTTGAATCCAACTGATCATCCTAACTAACAACTTTGGTGCAGCAAAATGGCATGTCTGTGATGAGAACGTGTACCCATTGCACAGGAATGATTTCTCTTCAGCAAACTGAAGCTTTTTTTCTTTCACAAGGGCTGGAAGCCTCACCTGTTTGCACTGGAAACAGATGGATTTTTAAAACATATAAACATCCGTTTTTCTCTTTCTCTCGTGTTCGTGAACAACTGAACACATCAATTATAAAGAGAGCTTTGGGCTCTGTTCTTCCAGGAAGATAGCTCTTAAGCAGTGAAAGCATTCTCAGGATTGTGGTGTTCAGCATTTGAAGCTGTTAAACATGTGGATATGGTTTCTTCTCAGCTCTGAGAGTACCAGCTTCTTTGAGAGTACCAACTTGGTCCTTGCACCTCTGATGTTTTCCTGTTGGCTTAGTGGCTGCACATGAATCTACTGATATCATCTGCAGCCCCATGGCCCCTCAGTTAGTGCTCTGCCAGCCACTCAGGCCTTGGCCTGGCGGAGTGTCTGGTCCCATGGCCCTGGCCATAATATGTAGGTTTTAAAGTAAGTCTCAATCGTTCTGTTTATCAGACTCAGAAGTCAAAGGCTGGGGTGAAAACCTGCTATCTCAGAGAGGCTGTGTAGCAACTAGCTGACCTTGTGTTTTCGCCAGAGACACCACAAGAGACAAGTCTCTTCCCTCCTCCCAGAACCAAAAGGAAGTTCAAGTTCTAGCCCCTGCCTTTTCCTTAATGTGTCTTCTCTATCCAAATTGCTGGCTTCTCTATGGCCAATGCTGGTCAGTTAGTAACTGGCTCTGCCCCTGATTCAAGGTATAGCTTTTGGGGACAGTCTCAGGAGTGTCAGACTGTGATAAAAATATCTCATAATGTACCTCTCATGTTTAGCAGATGATTCAGGGATATAAAGGCTGACTTGAGAGGTTTTTGGGGTTTTTTGTGTTTTGGTACTATGGATTCAATTCAGAATCTTGTACATGTTATACACATATTATTGCCCTCAAACTCCATCCCCAGCTTTGACATAGTTGTTTTTATTATTAAAACCACTTGTTTATTGTATATATTTTTAGAAGAAACTGGTTATATGTTTACACTAATGTACTAAAATTTCCTCTTAAATTTAAATGAAAAGTTAATTTTACCAACAGATTAAGTAAATACCAGTACTGATAGAATTTCAAAGTAATGCAAAATCTTGAAGATTGCATGTGACTTTTGGAAAATACTTCCTCAACGGAATTCAGACTCAGAAATAGCCTTGTATTTAGTGGTCAGGGAGATATCTCAGTGGTTAAATGACCTGCCACACGAGTGTGAGAAGTGAAGTTTAACTAAGTGTGTCAGCCTGTCTGTAATTCCAGTACTCAGAAGGCACAGGCAGGGGTCCCGGGAGCAAGGTGGTCAGCCAGATTGGACCTATCAGGAAGCCCTAGGTTTAATTGAGAGATCTTGCCTCAAAGAATAAAATGGAGAGTGATTGAGGAAGACTCCTGAAGTCAACCTTGAACTTCTACATGCATGCATACACATGTGTGCCCATACACATGCGAACATGCCTACAAACATGAGACACATTAAAACATGTAGCTTGTATTTAGTAACCAATGGAGTGGGGGTCAGGCTGGCTCTATGGAGAAGGGAGAACAATATGCTACTCTTTCATTATTTTCAGGGAAACGTTTGTCAGTGAAGTCATTGTTGAACTAAGTCATGAATCCAGGCCACTTTTGCCTAAAAGGAAATACTTTGGCCCACAGCCCCCATTCTTTCATGAATCTTTTATATTTTTCTCAGATGAAAGTGACAAATTTAGTTGTCTTAAGATCTTCTTTAAAGCCGGGCGGTGGTGGCGCATGCCTTTAATCCCAGCATTCGGGAGGCAGAGGCAGGTGGATCTCTGTGAGTTCGAGGCCGGGCTGGACCGATAGCCTCCGAAACAATACAGAGAAACCCTGTCTCGTAAAAACCAAAAAAAAAAAGGTCTTCTTTAAAAATAATAAGAGGAAAAGTATCTCTGATGCTGAAGTAGCTCAAGGAACAGCCCAGTCAAGCTTTTATTTCCGTAATCACGGAAGCAGAACAACTCCATAGCTTGTAAGCAAGCAATAAGTCTAGCTTATTGACTAGCCTTTCATCTGCTTTCATTGAGTTCCTACTAAGAATAAAATATGGGCAGAGTAGAGGAGAAAGAAGAATGCTTCTGTCTTGACAGTGCTCTTTTTGTATTAATAGCAGTGAAACACTCTGCTTTGGCCTGTTCTTAGATTTGCACGCTCTCTGCTGCAATCCTTTTGTCCCTGATTCCTTTTCGTTTCCTTCTTCAAGGTGAGGCAATGGAACAAGGTTTACGAGACTGCTGTCGATCCATACGAATTGGGAAGATCCTGATTCAGAGTGATGAGGAGACACAAAGGGCCAAAGTATATTATGCCAAATTCCCCCCAGACATCTATCGCAGAAAAGTCCTTCTGATGTATCCAATTCTCAGTGAGTGGCTTGAATTGCATCTGTAATTTTTTGTTAGAGTTGAAATTCAAATTAGTGTCTACCTCCTACGCACCCTTATATAAAAGGCAAAAGCGGTTTCTAAATGTGTTTTTCTCTGTTGTATTTGGAGTTGCCCTGGGCAGTTCACTGGGAAGTTTTTATTGTGTAATAAGGGAATATACATTAGTCAAACTTTGTTAGCTCTAAAGAACATCTGTTCTGAAATGAACACATTGAAGCAAAGGGCCTAATGAGGCAAAATATATAGAACACAGAAAATATATCAAAACATGTCCTGTTTCTACCTTAATGAGCATGGCAGTGATTTTCACAAGGTTTTGTCCCTTCTACAGGTAATTTCTCTGCTATTCTGTTCTCGTCCCTGTACTTTCTCATATCATGGTCTCCCAGGGAGGTGAGCAGGGGTTGTGGTGGTGTTACATTTGGTATTTCAAGCAATAAATGAGTTAGGACTTGTTGGACATTTAATACCAGTGTATGTTGTGCCCATCATTAAAAGTAACATTAACAAAGAAGAAACACTTTCAAATGAAGTGTTCAGGAGTAACGTCTTAGTTAAGATTACTGTATTACCCTTAATTCAAGAATTAATGTAGATGTTAAGATTTCTAATGGGTTTGGTTGCCTTGTTGTTTTAGGTACCGGAAATACTGTAATTGAAGCTGTAAAAGTTCTTATAGAACATGGAGTTCAACCCAGTGTTATTATCCTACTCAGTCTTTTCTCCACTCCTCATGGTGAGTTTACCTTGCAGCTATAACTTGAGCTCCAGATAGTCATGAGATAGTGTGTATCTCTCTAGCCTCTCATCCCAAGGAAAAGTATAGTTGTATGTCCATATTAAATTTAAATCTAGTTTTGGTAGTTATGACTTGTGTTTACCATCTCTAAGCTTACTTTTAATATTAAATAATTTTTTGAGATAAGGTATCTCACATTGGTCTTGAACTCCTAGACTCAGGTGATCCTTTTGTCCCATCTTCCTAACTGAAACCACGGGCATATATCAGCATGCCTGACTTGTTTTATACCATTCTGATGTTTAATTTTTTATTTCGTTATTTTATGGGCATGTTGTTTTGCCTGTGTGTATATGTTTGTGTACCTCAGAGACTGAAAGGGGGTGTTGGATCCCCTGGAACTGGAATTACAGTTCCTTGTGACCTGCTATGGTTCTCTGGTAGAGCAGTCAGTGCTCTTAACCACTGACCTATCTATCTAGCTCTTGTGATGTTTAAATTCAAATGGGAACATATGAATTACTTCATTGAAAATAACTGCAGTTGTTTCCCAAGTGGCCCTGTTTGGCTAAGGGTCCACAAATGGCTGAGCCTGAGAACAGCTCTCAAATAGCAAGGAACTTATGGTATTATTGAAGTAATCTTTGGCATGTGATCTGAAGATCAGATGCTTTTTGAATTAGATATCTGCTTTAATGACATGTGAGGAAGTTATCTATTCTCCATTTCCTGTAAGAGATATACCTAAATTACGACTTTGGCTTTCTTACCAAAAGATCTAGAGTAATTAGGAACACATGGTAAAAAAAATAATCATAGAGACATGTAAGAATTTGGTTTCTAGGGTCTTCATTATCGAGCCATTTAGCATAAGAAATAATTTGAAAGTGTGTAAATGATGATTGGGAATGATGACACATAGTTGTAATTCCAGCACTTGGGAGGCAGAAACAAGGATCAGTGCAAGGTCAAGGCCAGCTTGCCTGACATAGAGAACCTAACTATATAGCAAGACTGTCTCAAAAAAAAAAACCGCAGCAACAAAAGAGAGTCATATAAATGGCTGATAAGAAAATGGGTATATAAGTAGTAATCTATTTAGAGGATAAGTAGTATCTATTACATATCTTGCAAAAGTCACTTTTGAAAAACATTTAGTGATATAAAAATATGTATAGCAAGTGTGAAAAAGCAGCACAAATAAGAGAATTAAGGGCTGTGAAATGCATCCCTCCTCCAAAGTCTCAAGGACATTTTCCGGAGAGGTGGGAAGATCTTAAGAGCCAGAGGTAGTGGATGACTTTAAAGAAATAGTATCTTACAGACAGAACAGTTCCACATAAGAACTTATAGAGGATGTGACAGCATGCATAAGACCCCTGCAGGCTCAAGCCAGATAAAATCCCAGCCTGCTGCATGGTGATAGGGAAGGTAGACATGGAGTCCTACCATTAGCTGAGGGGCTACTGACATTTGGTAGCTGCTGGGAGAGGGAGAGTCAGTTTTTTTTAATGTTTTGACCACTGGTAGGTTGACCCACTGAAAGATTTGGGCAACACAGCCTGGGCTTTGTGGTTTGAGGGAGAGGAAAAGAGAGAACACAAGCACACATGAAGTTGGATAGGTAGGGCACGGGAAGGAGGCATGGATAAGATGGAAATATATTGTATGAAATTCTCACAGCATTGATACAAATGTAAAGAAATAGTGTGAAATGTTTAGAGATGACCAATACAAAGTATAACAATAATTACCAAAAGCAGACTTTAGGATAAAACTAAATAAACTTGACCTCAACATGAGGGGCTGGGAAGATGCACAATGCTATTTCTATTTTAGTTTTAAAATGTACAAGTACTAATAGTGGTTACTTTCAGGTATAATTCTAAATTACTTTAATTGTTAAGTTTTTGAGGTTTTTTTTGACATTTTCTAAGTGTTCTATAACGCATTGATATTTGTTTAATAATCAAAAGACAAATAGATGGCTTCTCTAGTTAGTCTGTTCTCTCATTTCCAACTATCCTAGGTTTCAGGCAAACCTCAAGAAGTAATAGCATGTGTGTTAGAAAGACTATTCTCAGTAGGCTGTTGTGTAGTAATTGTGGCCTATTGGATTACTTTGTTCTTTTGTAACCTAAATGTACCTGTAATTCAAATACTAGTGGTGACAAAGGGTGATTTGCTTGATTGTCCACTGTATGTATGTATGTAACACTGGTGACATTGAAAATATTAAGATAATCCAGTAATTATCCACCTTTGGCAAAAGAAAAATAATCTCTTTAGTTGTAGTTGTATTAATTAGAACAGTGTCCCATTGTTTGGCATTAAAGCTGAAAAATCCACATTGTGAAGCAGCTTTCACTGTGGTTCTTTGGTTTTGGGTCCCAGCTAGTCTAGATTCCCTGCCCAACCCCCTCATCTAAAGCTCCAATCCTTAATTCTAAACAGCTAGCGTTCTCTGACAAACCAAAGACACCTTTGCACTTGTTTCACGGTGTTGCAGTTGGAAAACTTTCATTTCATGTGATTTTCCTTTCAGGAAGTGCCATATTAGTTGATTCTAGCTAAAGCTGGTATAACTGAATAATTTGATTTTCAGACCATATTGAGTGGGCAGGAGCATGGTCTGAACTACTAGCAAAGCTTTTAAGATAGCAGATATTGTGTAAAGAGATTAAACATGCCTAGCTCAGTATCCAAAGATGATTGTGTCCCGTTTTCTGTCAGTATTAAGTCTGGGCACAATGATTATAAAATTCCTGAATTCTAACTACTGTTCCCAAAAATCTTGCAGTAATAACAATTATTTTTATTTTTTGAAGGTGCCAAATCAATCATTCAAGAATTTCCAGAGATCACAATTCTAACTACTGAAGTTCATCCTGTTGCACCTACACATTTTGGACAGAAATACTTTGGAACAGACTAAGTTATTAAAGAAGATGAAATACTTTGCATAATATTATGGTTGTAAATAGATTTCATATTTGTTTTTACTAATTTGTTTGAGAAATAATGGAGAAAATACATTAGGAATGCCTTTTAACATTGGAAGTAGGCGTGGCAATAGGAATTTTGGAAATTTATTTGTTTGATTTCGTCATTTCCTCACATGTGGTACCAAATTTGACAATGAAGCACACCCAGAGTGCTTAGAAAGACGGAAATTCTAATTGTCTGGTCCTGGAAGTCACTGAACCCTCACCCAGTGCATGGAAACTTTTGAACTTGACCCTCTTGCTTTGGGGGTTGCTTGCAGCTGCAGAGAATCCCAAACGAGAGTTAGTTCTTTGGCACACTGCAGTTTACATTTTCTTTACTGTGCTTTTATTTCTAGGGTGGTTTTCTGTATGTGGCTGTTGTCAGCCTCTATACTCTGTATTTCCTTGTACTATGTACACAGGTCCTTTGGAGAAGGGAGAACAAGAATATATCCTGGAATTTTATATTGCCATTACTGTTCTTGCTTAAGTTTCAGACCCAGGATGTCTGGTTAACTCTTCAGCTAAACTGCTGTGTTCCTTATGGCTCATTTCCCAAACTGGGTATTGAGGGAAGGTGCTTGCCAAGCTGTAATCCAGTGAAAAAGATGGCAGGCCTTTTTCAGTATCTGGATCTGTGACATGGATCTACAGAGACTGATGCCTGATACCGACAAGAGACAATTCCTCCACAAAGGAATTGGGTATTTTTTCTAAGGTGTGCAGAACAGTGGAGGCTTTGCTGCATTTCGTGGCTGATAAGTAAATCAACACGGTTCTCTTTTAATTTAGTTGTTTCTACTAGTTGCCTTTGGTTTGGAACTTCGTTATTTTGCATGTTTTACACTATAGCTATATTAAAGTAGAGAAAAACCAGTGTTCTTTCAAAATATGTAAGGTTTATGTGTGCTCATATTTAAGCTTCTGAAAGGGAGAGAAATAATCTTAGACTTAATCTTTGCGCCTTTGAAATGTGCTTATAAAACCCTGATCCCACTTTATATTGATATTAAAACTTTGAAATGTGGTGGCTGGATGATTACTTGATTAATTACATTCTCATGGCCCCCCACGCAGCTGCTGAGTTCTTAGAAAGAACGAAAGCTGTAAAGATCAGTGAGGGTTAGGGGAGGAAAGCACCCTTGAGTAGAGTGACTGGATTTTACTCTGATTCTAGACTACTAGGGTTCACTGTTGTTTGTTTGGGACAGGGTTTCTCTGTGTAAGAGCTCTGACTCTCCTGGAACTTGCTCTGTGGACCAGGCTGGCCTTGAATTTACAGAGATCCACCTGTCCCTGACTCCAAAGTGCTGGGATTAAAGGTGTGCACCACCATGCTCAGCTACTTTAGTTTTGAAGACTATCATGTACTAAAATTAAAATTCATCTAACAGTTCTTCCATGGCAGAATTCTGCCTTCAAGTTCTTACTGATTTTTTTTTAAAGATTGGGTCTCATCGGATAGCCCTGGCTGGCCTGGGATTTGATATGTAGATCAGGCTGGCCTGGAACTCACAGAGATACTCCTGCCTCTTGAGTGATGGGATTAAAGGTGTTCACCACCTTGCCCAGATGAAAGTTTTATTTACATTTGTTGATTAGGTGTCCCAGGAATGTAACAAATTCAGATAAACTAGATCTGTTGATGTTGTTTTATTGCATTGAATCAGTTGGAAAGATGATGCTCATTTATCTGGGTGTGGTAGTGCATTCCTGTAACCCAACATTGAGGAGGTTGAGGTAGGAGGATTTTGAGTTTGAGGGTATCTTAAGTAACTGAGCTAGATTTTATCTCAAAAATTTTTTTTGCCTGACAACCTAAGAATTGTTGCAACTGAATTGAATTGATGCTTCTTTGGACTGCAGTATTTTGTTTGAAGTACTTTCCAGAACATGAGATAATTTCATGTTCAACTGTGGGCATAAAACCATATTTCAAGAAAATTCTTTTTGTTTTGAAACATGATCTTCTGTATCCCAGGCTAGCTTTGAACTTTCTGTGTAGTCAACTCTGACCTTGATTCACTGCCTCGACTGAGTTCTGGGATGAAGGGCTTACAACCAGCATGCCCATCTTAAACAGGTTCTTGTTATATCATTAACCACTTAGATCCAAATGTCTGTTGCTTTTCAGCAATGAACATGATTAAAAGCTAACTACATTTGATTCCCACATGGAAAGCCTAGTATAAACAGTAGGAATTATTCAATAAGATCATATTCCCCACTGATGCTTGTACTCTACACTCCTGCAGATAAAACTCTGCTCTCTGAATTTTGGAATGTTTTATCAAACAAATTCTTACTTGCAGGGTTAATCACTTGCAGGACTCTATTTTCTAAAGTCAACATAAGATTAACAGACTACTGAAAGTAAGATTGACTTTAGTGACATGAACTTCAGAGCAATATAAATTGTGTAGGTTCTTTATTGAAGAATAAAGGCTAAAGCAAAAATGACAGGCAAATAACACATAGCAGTGATTCTCAAAGTATGACATGCATCATAATACTTAGAGGGCTACAGATTGCTGGACCCCACCCCTACAGTTTCTGATTCAGTGTTTTGATTTCCAAGATTTCTCCTTTTCATAATATAAACATTTAAGGATGTAAAACTTTCTATAAGGGTTTTTTATATGTTTTCATTCAGGTAAATATATTTTCTCATTTTATTTATTCAACCCAGGGTCATTTAAAATCGTCAGCTAATTGTGAATATTCATACAATTTTCCCATATTTTTCTTTGATATTATTTCCTAATTTAATTCCATTATGGTCAGAGGAAATAATTGTTATGATTTGAATCCTTCTAATTATGTGGATTTTTGACATAGGATATAATTGTTATGATTTGAATCCTTCTAATTATGTGGATTTTTGACATAGGGTATAATTGTTATGATTTGAATCCTTTTAATTATGAGGATTTTTGACATAGGATCTTGTCCATAAGCTACTGTCATTTGGTAAGTCTTCCATGCTTCCTTGTAACATATGCAGATCCTGTATTGTTTGCTAGGAATGTCAGGTTAAGTTGGCTGATAAAGCTGTTCATGTTTTCTACTCCTTCACTGATTTTTCTGTCCCCATGTTCTATTGATCATTAGGATATTGAAAGCTCAGACTAAAGTGTTGTGTTTGTTTCTTCCTTCAGTTCTATGAAGGTTTTGCTTCGTGTATTTGAAGTACTCTTGTTAGTGCAAACTGTTAGGTTTATTGTAGTCTCTTGAGGGTATGTCCCTTTGCCATTTGGAAATGATCCCGTTTGTACCTGTTAATACTCTTTGTGCTGAAATCTTTTTTAGTTGATGATAAGGATCTCAGATTTCTTTTGACTAACTTTACTTTTTAACATGTTTTTGTTTTAATCTGAATTTCTTATAGGCAACTTTAGGGCTGTGTGCTGCTTTTTAAAAAATCCAATTTGACAGTGCCTGCAGTGTTTAGATAATTTTCATGTCATGTAATTATTGACGTGATTGGTTTTAGGTCTCCCATGTTGCTGTTGGCCTGCTATTTGTTCTTTTTTCCCCTCACTTTCACCTTCTTTTGGATTGAGTATTATTCATGATTCTATTTTATGTCTTGATGACATTTGTGTCAACTCTTTCCACTGCATCCACCCTTTGGGGCACTGTCCCGGTCCCTACCCATCTCTCTTTTTGAGACAGTCTCTCTCTATTATGTAGCTCTGGCTGTCCTGAAATTTACTGTGTAGACCAGACTGTCCTCAAACTTACAGTACTGGGACTAAAGGCACATGCTACCATGCTTGGACAGCCCAATCTCCTTTAAAGGAAGGCTGTTGTAATTTTCTGAGCATTTACATTTAATATAGCAGTTACATAGCAGATAAATTATAGAAACAATAGCATGAATATATCCAACATTTGGAGGATTCCATGTAAAATATAAATAAACGTGAGGCAGTTAATCCATCTTATAAAGCCATTATATATACCACAATATTTTTATATTAATATGGTTATTTTCCCTTTGCCTACCATTATTTGATCTTTATGATAAGCTTATATTAAATTGCTTATTAGATTGATTTGTTAACTTCTCATATCAGTCATTTTCCATTGATATCACATCTTGAACAAACTTAAATTGCTCAGTACATATAATTATCAATGCAATCAGTGGCCTGTTTAATGTACTTGAATTTCATCAGCAATGCTCACCTTCTAACGTAGGTGAGCTAACAGAGATATAGCACAGTTGCTTTATTCCACAGGTCACCCAGATAACCATTATATTCCCCCCCCCCAAATAATGAGCTCTTAAACATGTGCCAGATGTTCTTAGGGAAAAGTGGTATCACAATTCAGTCAGATTTGTTTATGTCCAGGTTCCAAGTCAGTATATTAGTTTATTTGAGCTGTTGTAACAAAATACAAGACTGCATGGTTTTAGCAACAGAAATAGTTTTGGAGGTCACAGGTCCAAGATCAGAGTGTTGATATATTTGTGTAGTTTTCAGAGGTCTCTCTTTGACTTGACTTCCCATGGTCTTCCCCCTGTATGGATGTCCTTGGTGTTCCTTTGTATGTTCAGATTTTCTCTTTGTATGGGCTTTAGTGAGATTATATTAGGGCCTATTTAATGGCTTTGTTTTAACTAAATCACTTCCTTAAAAGCCCTAGCTCCAATATAGTCACATTCTGAGGTATTGGGGATTAGAACTTCAATATGGATCGAGGAGGCCCTTAATTGTAACAACATGCTTGTAACGACAAAACTAGTCATCTTCGGTCAATCCACAGGCTTTTACTGAGACTGTTTCTATATGTGTTATGAGGCAGGGCCATTTCTTTTCTGTATTGTTATCACTTTTTATTTTTGAGATAGCATTTCATTATATAGCTCTGGTTAGCCTGGTGCTCACTATGCAGACCAGGCTGGCCTTGAACTCACAGAGATCCACCTGCTTCTGCCTCTGAAGTGGTGAGATTAAGGGTGTGCACCACCACTCCTGGCAGGGCGGGTTTCTTATGGCAAATCTAAGGGCGTAGTTTAGAATTATTTCTACTTCTGCTGTGAAATCAGGTGCAACTTCCTTTGCTCCATTCTTGGGGTGAGAGCAAGCAGTGCATATTAATGTAAGTTGTTTTGACCTTCAAAGAATGTATAAGTTTGGAGGTTTATAGGAATTCCACAAGTATTGATATGTCATTGCCTATCACGAAGGGCTATTGATTCTTATCTGGGACAGGCTCCAGCTGTTTTAAATTGGTGTAAAGACTCTATTTGCTCATGATGCAAGCCTTTGCCCAGCTGTGAGTCGTAACACTGTCCAGCTTGATTCAGGAATCTGCCTGACCCACGTTGCTAAAGCCTTACTGTCTTTCCAGACTGATTCCTTTCCTTTTCCTGTTTTCTGGGAGAGTGACCCTTCTACTCTTCTAATACACTTAACTCACCATTTTCTTTTGAATGCTATTCATTAATAGGAAATTCACTTTGCTCTAGCAGTCACACTACTGAGTATATAAGTAGAGAGAATAAAATTATCATGCTGAAGAGACATCTGCACTCCCATTTTCATTGAAGCAGTATTCTCAACAATTAAGAATAGAAACAGCCAAAGTGTACATCTAATGATGAAGGTATAAAGAAAGCATAGTACATTTATACAATGGGATACTATTCAGCCAGGCAAAGGAATGAGTTTGTGACAAAATTGGATGGAACTGGAGATTATGTTAAGTGAATGAAACAAGCCAGCCACAGAAAAACATACACTGTATGTAAGTGTGTGGAATCTGGAGACAACTGATCTCATGCAGGTTTAGAGTAGATTGCTTGTTACCAAAATTTGGGGAGGGATGGCTGAATGAGGAAAGGTTGAATAAGGGTCATTAAGTTATAGTTACTTAGATAGAAGAAAGTTCTGCTGTGCTATTCCATAGTAGGGTGTCTGTATATCATCCATTAATGTACTATACATAAAAAATTAGAAGAAAATATTTTGTTAAGTTTTTACTATAAAGTAATAATGAGGAAAAAGATAAATGTGATTTAACTATTACACAATGTGTACATGTACAGAAATATCATGGTATCCCATTAATATGTACAAATTTTGTTTTTATGGATCACTTAAATAAAATAAATGAAAAATAATAACTCAGTTTGTCTTTTTTTTGAGGAAGGTCTTACTCTGGAGCTCAGGCTGTCCTTGCATCACTATACAGCCTAGGTTGACCTCAAACTCACAACAATTCTTCCACTGAGCCTTCCTGGTTGTTTGTGTTTTGATGCCTAAACTGGTACCTATTTCTCACATATCTCTCTTCTGTCCTGTGGACCAATGTTTAATTCACCAGGCATGGTGTTGCCATTGTAATTGCCTTAGCACAATTAGATAACGTGTGTTGTACCCACAGATATTGGGTCTCCCTACTAAGATTATGTGGATGGTAGTTATATTTGGAAATAATTTATTCTTGACTAAAGAAAATGTGGTACTTTTATACAATGGAGTATTACTCGGCTGTTAAAAACAATGACATGAAATTTAAAGGCAAATGTATAGAACTACGAAAAAAAATCATCCTAAGTGAGATAACTCAGACCCAGAAAGGCAAACATGGTATGTACTCACTTTTAACTCAATGTTAGCTGTGAAGTAAAGGATAACCATGCTATAAGACTAGATTGTTGGCTTCCCCAATTTTCACCATAAAGCTTTCATCAGATGCAGAGACCCACAACCAAACATTGAATTGAACTCAGGGAGTTCTGTTGAAGAGAGGGAGAAGGTCAGGGGGTATCAAGAACATCCCACAGAAACAAGTAACCTGGGCTCAAAGGAACCCACAGAGTCTGGATTGACAGCTAAGGAGCTTGCATGGGCCCAACCTAAACCCTCTACATATGTGCGACAGCTGTGTAGCTTAGTCGACCTGTGAGACTCCTAGCAGTGGTTGTCCCTAATGCTTTGGCTGGCTTTTGAGAACCTAGTCCTTATTCTGAATTGCTTTGGCCAGCCTTAATAAAAGGGGAGAAGCTTAGTCCCACCTCCACTTGATATGCCATGCTTTGTTAATACCCATGGGAGGCTTGTCCCTTTCTGAACAGAAACAGAGGAGGAATAGATTGGGGAAGGGAGAAGGGATGAGAAGAGAGGAGGGAGGGAAACTTCGGTCTGGATGTAAAGTAAGTGAATAAATTTAATTAATTAAAAACTCACTAAAAAAGAAAAATAATTTATTTTCTCTTTTCCTTTGGCATACCACCCAAGATCCTCTTGTCATCATGGACCACTGCCACCCAACTTAGTGTTACCAATATTGTAAGAACAATGCTTAGAGTCTCACTTCTGCCAGGGCGTCTCTGATGCCAAGATCTGCATCTTTGACTTGGGACAGAAGAAGACACAAGTTGATGAATTCCCACTTTGTGTCCACATTGTATCAAATAAATACAAGCAAAGCTGCTTCAAAGTTCTGGATGGCTATTTGTACTTGTGCCAACAAATACGTGGTAAATAGTTGTGGCAAGGATGGCTTTCATATCAAAGTGAGGTTCAACCCTTTCCATGTTATCTGTGTCAACAAGATGTCCTGTGCTGGACCTGACAGGCTCCACATAGGTATATGTATGCCTTTGGGAAGCTCCTGGGCACATTGGCCAAGTCATCATGTCCATCTGCACCAAGCTGCAGAATAAGGAACATGTGATTGAGGCTGTGTGTAGAGCCAAGTTCAAGCTCCCTGGCCACCAGAAGATCCACATCTCAAAAGATGTGGGGCTTCACCAAGTTTAATGCAGGTGGATGTAAAGACATGGTAGCTGAGAAGTGGCACACTCCTGCTGGCTGTGGGGTCAAATGTATCCCCAATATTAGTACCCTGGACAAGTCATGTGCTCCTGAGGTTTTCCACAGTGATCTCCTATACCATACAAGCCACATTCAGTAGTAAATCTCACAGCCAGTCAAAACAAAAAGAAATAATTTATTCTGCATAAGCCATAAAGACCTCACCTAATCTTTCTTGTCTCAAGTTAGTCATTTCCCATGGGAATCTGAACCTAGCAATAATACCTTCTACTTTAGTCCCATCGGGAACACAATGTCTCCATCTTTTTAAGGATTTATTATGTTTTTAATTATGTATATGTGTGCCTTTTTTGTGGGTATGTACTCATGAGTGTGTGTGCCCATGGAGTCCAGAAAAAGGCTTCAAATCTTCTGGAACTGGAGAGAAGTAGACATGAGCTGTCCAATGTTAGTGCTGGGAACTGAACTTGGGTCCCCTTCAAGAACAGTACATGCTCGTATTCACTGAGCCAACTCTTTAGCCCCCCAACTCTGTTTTATTAACTTTAAATCTGCAGAAACCAAGGGTAATTTGTATTTATATACAGAACTCTTTGACATCACGGGCAGTGACGACTATATTCATAAAAGTGGTGATTGAAGTTAATAGTTACTCAGTTGTCAGTCTATCCGTTGTATATTGCATAGTTTGATGACCAGATAGGGAGTAGTTCCTGAAAGTTCATTCCCAAATGATAACCTTTGTAGTAGATGTAACTTGGAAAAATGGCTTTGAAGGTGCCTGGTATCAAGCCTAGGGCCTCATGGCATGGTAGGCTAGTGATATACTGAGCTATAACCCTACCCCTGCAACCTGCTTTTTAAGAATAAAAATATGCTGGCTTATTTCTAGAGCTCCATCATAGCTGTTATTGTTTGAATCTGAAATGTCTTTTATAAAATCAATTTAAAAATTAATGTATTTTTAAAGTTTATATATACCCATCCATGTTCCTCATTTCACCTTTGCTCACCCATCCCCCTGTTAGACATTTCCACTTCTACTTTCCTATATACATGATTTTACATGCCTGTGTTTTGAAAGCTTGTTCCCCAAGTGGAAGTGCTCTTTTGAGGGGCAATGGAAGCTTTAGGGGGTAGAGTCTAGCTGGTGATAATAGCTTGCTAGGGGCAGGCCTTTCAAGATTATGTATAGCCTAGCTCCTAGTAACAGCTGCTTTCTGCCTTTTCTGATCTCCTGGGAAGTGAAGAATCTCAATAACCTACTCCCACAGCCATAAATTCTTTGTCACAATGGACTGCTGGGGATTGAACCCAGGGCCTTGCCGTGTAGTAGACTAGTGAGCTGAAGGCTTAGTCCTACAGTTGATTATTGTGTAAACATTTTCACCTTAGAAAGGAAAGCAACATTCATTGACTATTGGCTCTCAGTGGCAGCAGTAGCAGTCTGAGTTTAACAAGCGTTTTCCTTTCAGGCCATCCTTAGCCGTATAGAGTTACACAGATAGAGATGCACTGGGGTATCTTAGCCACCATGAAATATAGCTGCATTTTGGTGAGTCCAAATTTTGTAAGATAGGATGAAACTATAATTTATCCCATTAAGCCCTTATAAATCATAGCATAAAAATTTAATGATATAATTACAGCAGTTCCTTCTGCATCCCTGAGGGATGAATTGTAAAGCTGCAGTTGATGCCTGAAAATTGGATAATACTAAACCATGAATTCAATTCCGTTCTGTCTTAGCCAAGCACTTGTCATGCTGTGTCCATAGTTTCTGTAGTTTGAGGTGTGACAGCAAAACTAACCCAAATTTCTTCTTCCTTCTTTGCACTTCCATGGGTAGGTTCATTCTTACCATAGAGCAGCTTCAGAATACTTTGTTGCTGTTGTTTCTGTGAGTCCATAACTTTCACCTTTTCACTTAAAGGAAGCACTTGATCACTCTTCTTTGACATTTCAAAGTTGAGAGTATTACTACTATAGTACTTGGGGATTATAATTAAGTAAAATAAATGTTAAATCAAAACTGAGTGACGGGGGATATCCTTCTGTATATATGTTTCTCTTATTGGTTGGTGAATAAAACACCGATTGACCAGTAACCAGGCAGGAAGTATAGGTGAGGCTGCCAGATGAGGAGAATTCTGGGGAAAGGACACAGGGACAAGCCACCAGAGAGAGGCCATGTAGCTGCTGAAGGAGTCACATGCTGGAGCGGTCTCAGGTAAGATAAGGCCTTGTAGAAATACATAGATTAATAGTTATATGTTAATAATTAAGAGAGAGCTAGCCAGTAAGAAGCCTGAGCCACTGAACAAACAGTCTTTAATTAATGTAAGTTTCTCTTTGTGTTTATTTGGGGCGAAGTGACCGTGGGACCAGGCAGGACAGAAACTCAGTCAACAAACTGAGATACTGAAATAGCTAATCTGGTCATTAAAATAGCTACTAAGTGACTAAATTAGTAGATAGTATATGCATCCTGGAAACACTGACTCACATCTTGGAAAGACAGAGTAAAACATCTTGAGTTTATTTATAACTGCATAGTTCAATTCTTTTTTTTTTTGTACCTGTGTGTGTAGTGCTGAGGGTTGGGAACAGTGCCCTGCACATACTAGGCAAGCATTTACCATAGTGCAGAACAAATATAAAGGTTTGTCTATGGACTCTCAATTTTACTTCATTACCCTATGTTTGTATCATTATGCTAATTTTGATTACTGGACCTTTGTAGTAATTTTGATATCAGAAAGTGAGTTCTCTTACTTTGCTATTCCTTTTCTTCATTGTTTATCTATTTAGAGTCTGATGCTGCAACGATAAACGGCACACTTACTGAAAGTAAAAGTAATAATTTATTGTAGAAATTACTCACAAAAGACAAACAAGTAACCCAGGTGAGCCGAGTACTTTTCCACCGCCGAACTGGAAGCCGGAAAGCCGGAAAAAGAGAATGAGACTTCCGTTGTTCAGTCTTTTATACCTTCCTCCATAATGCCCCTAGCCATGCCCAAACCCAAAAGTGGGCCTGTCTAGTGATGTAGTTCACCGCCTACGTCCGTATACGTCTTTAGTCATGCCTAAAGTGGGTGTGGTTAGTGGTGCGGTAAACCGCCCTTTTATTACCTCATCTGTGTGCACCTCTAGTAAGTCACATGGTTAATGGCGGCACACTGTTTCCTCCTACAAGAGTCCCTTGTAATTCATTATGAATTTTAGGATCAAGATGAGTCATTGGGACTTTGATAGTGATTACAATAGGCCACTTTGGATAATAGTGGCTATAGGCTTTTATCTTCTTGATTAAATTTATTTTATAGGCTTTTATCTT